AAACAGGCCCATTTCTAAGAGGAAAGTGTTCTTACTTGGGGAAACAATGTGCTGCAGATAGAACCCAGTTTTCCGTGATCAGAGAGCCTCCACAGATATGACCATCAGGGTGTTTCTGTAACCAATGAGGATTTAGTGAGTAGAGTAATTCAAATCTACACTTTACAATTTAATACATGAAAATCTACTAAAAATCTAAGTTCCCAAGGCTTCACCTGTACATCCACCTGCCACGGCCACTCGCCTACTAACGAATCCAGCCCGCCCACAATCCTGTCCTGCATTAATGGTGGTCGTCCACATTCTTGGGCGTTAGAAGCCAAAATACCTAGAGGAGGGAAAGTAGGTACACCACGGTAGCTGGACTTTTTTTTACTTATTATTATTTTTTAAATTAATGTTACTTAAAAAAAATAAGAAGAAGAAAGAAAGAAAATGAAAGACTTCCTCAGCCAAGAACAGACAGCAGATATTTTTCAGGTGGGGAAGAAAAAAAAATGGCGAGGGAAGCTAACGGGAACCTACTCACCTGTTATGAACCAGAAAACAGCAGAAAATCTCGGTATCACTAACATGATTCGATGTTTTCTATCACAAATGTAGTTCAACTACTACCGAGGCGGTTATCTCTCAATTATAAAACACTGTAAATATGTCCCAGCGTCCTCTATCATTAATCAAAGTCTCCAGCTGTGCAGTTAAGTCTTTAAAAAAAAATTACATTTCTAATCGTCTAAGTCGCCCTCCCTGCTTAACGGCGTCGAAAAAAACAATCATAGGTTTCGGGTTTTACCAGTATCGTTGAGATTCCGAGTATTCGCTTTGCGCCTAATCGTCTGTCTACCTGTGTGCTCACCTACAGCCAACCGAAAGTCTTGCTCCCCCCCCCGAATCCGCCGGAACCAATAACGTTTACCGAATGGAAAACCCAACCAATCAGATTGTCCTCCCCTTATTTAGTTACAGGTATCAGGGTTTTTTTTCTTCCGCTTATTAAAGGTGTTCTTTGCATACCAAGAAATTTTAGTTGTTTACATTTTGCCTGTTGATGAAAGCCTGTTTTTGATTTGAATGCACTTTTGTTTCACTTCTGTATTTACTGGTAAAGAGGAGCAAGACTACTAACTGTTTTATTTGAGTTAATGTCATGTGAGCTGTGCTTTAATGTTCTTGCTATATATCCAGCTGCATTAGTATGAGTTGATTGTGTACTGTTTAGTGAAAATAACCGGTTTAATCTCATTATAACGTTATAATATAATATTCTTTTTATTCATATAAATTTACAGTTTCATATTAATACCTCAAAACTTTTCAAGAACTCCGAACATCACCATTGAGGCACATTCTAAAACGTTATTAGACCACCTCTCAATAAAACATAAAAACACAAATATTGAAGAAAT